TTGGGTTTAATATTATTGTTTATTAAAATTCCGATTTTCGGGCCTTTTGTAATAATAACACCATTAAAACTAACTTGTATTCTAGAAATTGCAATGGCCGTTTTCGCAATCTATAATTTAATCAACCCAGCTGATAGTTAAATTAACCAAGTGTTGTTTTGCGTAGGATGTGGGCAAAGACCGATTCCAATTCAAATGGCGTCCGCTAAATGATTGCATTTTTAATATATCTTATATACACTAGGTACATACTTCATTTATAACTCTGGGACAAATATAGAGTTACTTATCTATTAGGGAATTGTATTCTAGTAATATCTTCTATATTGAAATGAAACAATATATCGCCAAAGCATCGCCAAGATGTCGTATCATATTATTAGAGAGTTTGACGGTTTAACCTACGTCACCGTATTATTTTGTATCTTTACTTCCAAATAACACCCTAGATTCTAGGACCTAGAATTATTGGACAAAGAGTTTTTTTTATACAGACTTTCTTCGACATTCCTTTTTTCGATCATTAAATAATTTAATACCATCCTGTGAGCTCCCACAGGAGTTAATGCGTAATTTATAATGAAAGTTGATTGTACTTCGCTGGCATGTTTAGTGTAACCATAAAGGATCATTAATCCGCCAAAGTTATGGTAATGGTCTTACAATATTCATCTAGTTTCGGTCGTAATATGTTCAGACTAATTCAATTTTATGCTTTAACTCGTTTGCTGGTTCAACTTTGACAGGATTATAACTATTGGAGGAAACGTTGAAAAATTTTTAATAACACATCACACAGAAATAATTAATCTTATTATCAGTTAGATATAGGATACTAAGATAGTTTGAGGTTAAATATTAGGTGTTTTTTATTCTGAGAAAAAATATATGCAATGGATTTTAAATATGCACATTTTAAATATTTTACTGTTATAGCGACATAGCAGAGTAGACCCTTGACTGTGTCTGTCTGTCTTGAATCTTATTCCTATCCTTGAAAATATACATAAAAACTACAGAATAATTTTTTTAATTCCTTTCAGAATGTCGAAATATGTGTTCTTTTTGCGGCATAAACTGTATGTTTGTTGCGTTTTTTTAGAAGTTTTCTGGGCTGTAGATTTGTATAGTTTTTGATGGCACACGTTCCAAAATTAAAGTCTTAGCAGACAAACACACGCACAACAAAATGCTTTTACAAGTGTAAGGATAAAAACTGATATTGTTATTAAGTGTGGAACCTTAAATCAGTATTTTAATTGTAATTACTTAGCAGTCAGAACTTCTGCTCAGTTCGAATATTGAGCAAAGTTCGAAGAAAAGTTTTCCTGTTTTGTCGTTACATTGCAAAACGGTTAATCGAACCTAAGATGCGTATGGGCATACACCCACATATGGAGCGGGCAGTTGTCCGGCAAGCGGGTACATACTTGCCATGAATTGATAATGCACAGGATAACACCTGGATAGAAATAGAAACGCCTACTGCACTACACAAAGCCGTTATGCAAGTTTTGTCTATGCCCTTTTACGTGTTGAAACGCTAATGTAGATAAGAGTTTTAACTGATTTTATAGCTATTTGGTTATAATTTGTGCGAGCGCAGTCGCGGGTAAACAGCTGCTTAATATATTTAGTGGGAATCTATTTAATTCGTTAAGTTAAGCGCCGGCGCCGCCGCCGCGCCTCCGTGGACGGGTCGTATTTCTAATACTTGTCCAATGTCCAATACATATTATGTTCTTCCACGTTATAATACGTCTATCTAATCCAATATGTTTTGAGAGTAGGAATTATGTCTAAGAGATATTATTAATTCCAGATGATACATTTATAACGTCAACTCAAATTTGTAGAGTTAGTGAAAAATAATTTATTATATTAATTGACGTGAAGTCCTGTATTTTTTACAAGAATTACTTGGATGGAGGATTTTGTTTGTCATTGTTAGTTCTTATCAGGGTTCGGACGATTACGGTTATTAACCGAAACGTAACTGTTGAGAAGACATTGGTTGGTGTCAGAATAGCAGATATCAGCGTAGTCGAGAATAGGTAAAATAAGACTTTGTACCAGTGCTAATTTACTGCTGAATGGGAGAAAATTTTTTGTCTATAAAGACGCCTAAGCGTGTTGACTATTTTACGGCTCACCTTACTAATCTGCGCCTCCCAACTGAGACGTAACTACCAGACTGAAACGTAATGATTTTGTCTTTATATCGTTTGGGAGTAATGTTATTCCTATCAATAGCTGACAGCTGCCGTGAACTGCCAATAACGATACTTTGGCACTTAGATCTATTTACAGTAACCACTCCAAAATAGTTATGAGATCCTAATTAACGCTGAAAATAGCATCGTTGATCTGGCTTTTGCCTGCTAGAGCTTATATCTGAAGATCATCTGCATAGAAATGATAAGATGAGCGAAGTCGAGTAGTGCGAGAGTTATTAAATAATTTGAAAAGAAGTGGAGATAATATGCCGCCCTGTGGAGCGCCAGTAAATAAGTCACAATCAGAAGTATGAATGATTGATTCGGTCAACCTGCTAGCGCCTCCGCATATCTTCGGAGGCGCTAGTGAACGGAAACCGTTCCTGAACTGAGGACGAAAGTGCGGTTTGAGTGAGGATAGCAAGAAGGATATCATGGTTTGAAGTTGAAGGCATTCGAGAAATCTATCAGAACCATAACAGTATGCTATTCGATGCTATCAAACAATCAAATCTTTGTTTTTTTATAATATTAGTTAGACAATATAACACAAGTTGCTCAAATCCCAAATTAAGTAACTGAAAAGCTTGTATTATAGAAATTAAAACAACGACGGTTAATATTTATTTTATAATAATGCATTTATTAGTTAAAAATCATTAAGATGCCTATTGTAATCATCGATCGATAGATGCATCGTATTTTTTAGTAATTTTGCAGATGTATTTATCGTTTTTATTAAAATAGGATAATAAATTTGTGCTTAAAATTATGAAATCTTTAGTCTCACTCTTTATGAAGTAATGATTATTCGGGTACAAATTTTGTTCAATAATATTATCATGTATCTTGTATGTTATATTACGGTTGCTGGAAGAAATTTTCAGCAAAAAGGCTGCCAGTTGTACTGTACCGTTATTAGGTTTTGTTAATTTACTTGTGGTCTGGACAGTAAGAAGTAATTTATTTATACATATTTTTTCTATATTTAATTAATGATATTTAGAAATTTCGACGCCACTACGAAGTATATGATAATTTCAGACATTCTATTTTATTTCATTTGTTTGAACCAGCAATGCTACAACAACGTGTACTTCAAACTTAAGCGCTTAAATAAAAAGTAGAATATATTCTTAGTTCTATATCATCTCATTATCGAAGTCAATGATTTCAAAAGTGATGAGAATTGTAACGCTATCGTGGCTCACCAGTCTTCGACTGTAAACTGTATGTTAATAGAGAGGGCGCCTTGCCTCCTTCATTAGGCGAACAAACAAGAGGGGACCGAGCTGCCTTTATCTCGTCACCCTCTTAACGTACCCTACTGGAATGTAGTTCATCTTAAGTAATCACATTTCAATTATAATTAATATTCACCATTAAATCGAGATTTTTTTGAAATTTACAGTGGTTAAGCTAACTTAAGTTGAGCAATTCAGAAAATTAATATAGGACGAAAGAAATCATATTGTAAATCTTTCAATACTTTTTTAAAGAGGTACCGTTGACTGTGGGCATCATTAACTCGTTTTATTAATGAAGTGTTTCCTCGCTGATATTTAGAATTCGCGTCGAGTTTAATTTCGATAACACGTTTTAGGTGACGATTACATAATAATAGAGTTGCAAGTCTCCACGACAAATTGATTTCGATTATTAGGGTCGCGTCTGGAGGGGTAACCCGATGTGAATGTAAGAAGGGTATTCAGTTTTCAAGGGCGTTGTGTCAACAGCGCGAGGGGATTCAGCCTTGTGTTTTATGCATATTGTTGTGTGTATACATGTTAAGGTACTATTACGCGTAAGGATATTGTGACAACATCGTTAATCCGCAGCATTTATAAGGCTTGCTGTCGGCTGATGATAACGCGAATGTCTGTTTTAATATTAAACACTTTGTTATTATTGTTGTGATGAATGTTAAATTGTTAAGAGTCAACGATATGTTACTTCATGTTTATAACCCTTTAACATTGCCATTGAAAGGATTTTACTTTTGAGGAATCTGTTTATTTGAATAATAGTTTATATCGATAGGATAAACGTCCGATTAAGATAAAAATTAAACTATATACCTAAATTCACAGTATGTAATTTCTTTTCGAATATACAGAAACAAGTCTAAAACCCGTTAACACGGGATTGTCCTGCAGGTTACCTGCATGCATGATAGATCAGTTCACTAAACTAAGCTTTAAAATTATTTGCTTAGAGTATGCTTCCCAGTATTTCTAAAATGCTCCCCATTTTGGGTTTTTCTTTGTAATTTAAAAGAACTCAGTAATAAAAAATGTAATCAATACAAATTGCATAAGCCATTGTTTTTTTTTTAGACGTAACGTTCGTGTACCGTTTACTAAGAGAATTTATTAAGAGTAAGCCTCTTAATAAATTCTCTTAGTAAATAAATCTCTTAAAAACACTAGATTTTATAACACGATTGTGTTTAAGTTATTGTGATTGTGAACAATATAATTTAAAAATATTTTGTAACCTCCAGTGGAACCTATAATTGTTATTATATAAGTCCTGCTTAAAAAGGTTCCCTTATTATATGTTCCACCGAACTTCAACAAACATCTTCAACTGCGCTGAGTGGAGCGATGTAGTCCTCTAAAAAGCCGCCATTTTGAAGCCAACATGTTGGATTGGCTGCATGTAACTAATTAGTGATTTCCGGAACATCTATAAAATATATATCAAATGAAAGGATTTCTCGTGTGAAGTACAAATTAACTCGAAATAAGAACTTGCTTGTAACAGTATATATTTTCTCCCCAGGTTTGCGCGCTATCAGCTAGGGACAGAGTATCCGAGTCCTTAGCGTTAACGTATGCGGAGGCACCAGGAAGGCCGCTACCAGATGTGATAGTAAAACCGGGCCTGTCCTATGATGAAGTCCTCCACGATGACTTCAGATTCGATCTCGACGCCCACGATGTCATGGTCTTCTTGCATATTCAGAAGACGGGAGGCACATCGTTCGGGAAGCATCTAGTCATGGATTTGGATTTGAAGGTAAACCATTTTTCATTTGCTTGTGAATTGTGTGATGTTTTTATTTTACTTTTAAACTGGACTTAAAGATGATTTTTTGTTGAGATAACTAATTGGTATTTAATTCAAGGAAAATTTGAAAAAAAAATATACTCCATTCATTATAACATTAGAAAAAAGAGGGTCATAGAAGCAGCAGTTCAGAACATTTTATTTTCAAGATATTTAAAAAATATATATATTAGTTTTTTTTTAAAGTTTAAACATTAGGTAGTCTGAAAGAGCTGGGCAATTTTCAATTTTTTACGATACCTCAGGGTTGAGATGAGGCCAGCATTTTATAAATTCATCTTTTACTCCCAAGCCACATGGAACTAAAACTGAAACTATCTATCTGTTGTTTTGGATAAATTCTAATTGTAAGTGTAATTAGTTAGACTTTGATGAAGATGTTGAAATGTCAATGGTTGAGGGTAGGCATGGGGGCATAGAGTGTAATTTTTGTAGGCCACTCGGGCCTGCACCGGAATCGCAATTTAGCAAAACTTAACAACATAAAGATAACAACTAAAACAAAACTATAAGAAAACAACAATAAAACAGTAATTACTCAATCACCGAAAATTACAAAACAAGAAAGGCAGTAGCATTTACAATGAATGACAATCCCAGATTACATATTTTGACTATTATGAATAAATCATAATCTGACAAAATTAAAAAGCTGTACTGCCGAAACGTTTGAAGGGATTAGACAACGTTTTAAAATTTGGTAGAGTTATAGTGACATGAGAATCGTGCCGAAACTTTCTAACCCTGCTTCTTTAAGATGAACACTTTTTATTGTAATAATTATTAAATGTTTTAAGTCAGTTAAATACTCATAAATTTGTTTAATATATAGCTTAAAAGACTATGGTTAAGTATAGCAGCTGGTATTTAAGTGGATATGTAGCAAATTAGTCGGAGTAACATGATTGTTGACATTTTGTCACAAAGTATACTAAAAAGTTAGATATAATAAAAAGTTTCCTTCCTAAACCCGTCGAAAAATCGCAATTAGCATTGAACTCTTTCGTTTGATATTTCTAAATAGCTTTCAAAGATAGTTGCGTCTAACGCTTGCCTTAGACAATTTCAATTAAACGTTAAATTAACGATATCGGTGATTCAATATTAGGAAAACTTAAAAAAGTGAAAAATAATATTTATCCCTAAAACGACTTTTTTAGGAAAATGCTATTAAAGTCAATGGATTAAATATAATCCCATAATGCTCGAGGTTCCTTTAATAAATAATCTTGAACACCCTCTCTATACCGGTCATGAGCAACTCTCATGTTCCTTTTCAATTTGGCCATACACTCTGAAATCTTACTATATTTATTTGCCGAGCCTCTCGCCCTATACCACTTATTTTTAAGACGTGCTTTAATTTTAAGTAATTTATTATTTCACCCGTATACCAGTCGGGACAACTGCAATGTAATAGGGATGACGACTGGGTAAAAAAAGGCAATTTCCTTTAGTCCGTCAGTCAGATAATAGAAAAATATTAGATACGTATTTCTTTAGTCCGTCAGTCGTAAAATATTAGATACGTATTTTTATTTTACTTCAATTTAACAAGAAATAGCTTAGATAACAGGCATTAAAGTTGAGGTATGGGGGCTCGCTACGTCATAGTTTAGCAGAAAACGTACCATAACGTGACGTCATGCGAAATTTCAACTTCATGTAACGCCGTAATTTTATGATTACGAAAAAAAAAAACATATTTCATATTTTTTAGCACTACCTGACGGACAAACAAACAAAAAATAGTCGTCGTCCATATTAGTATTAGTTGTTTTTTTCTGGGTACACAATTGTCTAGTACAGTATAAACTTTATCATAAAAGAAAATTATACTTTCCTTGACATTCAAATTTAGCATCGGAGTCCAATCTATATTAGTATTGATATTGATATTTTTTTTTATATAATAAGTAACACTAAAATACTTCTCTGAAAACCGCGTCAAAATCGGTACTTCCAAAAGCGAAATAATCGCGGACAATACATACAACACGTGTTTGCGAACCTCCATTTTTTGTCGGTTAATATACCTAGAACCTTCTCCTGGGTCTGACAAATACTATGTTGAAAACAGAATCAAAATATGTTCAGCCAAACGCGAGATAATCGCGCACAAACATACATACCATGAATACGGTTCAAACTTAACGTCGCGGTCGTCGTCGGTTAAAAAAACGTCGCGAACTTCGCGAATATCTTTCAGACGGCAAATTGAAAGGGCGATTGATTTTAAATGGGGCAGTTAGCCCCCTGTTTGCTGACATTATATTTGAATAGGCTGTTTTATGTTTCTAACATTCGGCCGTAATTTGTGATCGAAAGCAAAGAGGCTTCGAAAGCAATAATCGGAGGAAGATACCACGTCAAAGAAATTATTTTAATTAGAAAAGCATCGGTTGCTATTGACAACCTCAGTTTAGATTACCTATTCAAAGGGAGCCACAAAAGATCAAAGAGGTTTCATAAATTGACTTTTCTCGTGACATGATATTATTTTTTATAGGTATTATGTAACTTCAGAAAAATATAATTCTCATTTTGCTCAATTTAAATATCTATTATATATTATATTATATAAAAATGAATCCCCAAAATGTATGTACTCGCATAACATCCAAACGACTGCACCAAATTGAATGATTCATTTTCTATTTATTCCTTATTGTCAGGACAAGGTTTGTATATAAGAATCTTTATAAAAGATATAATTAGTCGGGTCAGTTAGTATTAGATAAAAATCCTTTTTCTATTCCAGTTCGCATACAATATGATAAGATGTATTTTTGTCTTCATCTTGGGTTAAATGTGATTGCTTACTTAATTTGGATATAAGTAAATTCACTGTTTATGTATAATTTACGGTTTCGTCTGGGTGTGAGATAAAAGAGTCAAAATGAAAATCAACCGTTAGTTTTAAACGCACAAGAATTTCAATGGAAAGTCTGTGCTAACTCGGCAGACATGTGAAGAGGCTTTGGCTTTGCTAGTGAGCTTATTAATGCCGTGCGGTGACTGCGCGGTACTCGCGAAAATGGAAGATACGCTCAAAGAAAATGTCGCGTCACGCTGAAGCCAAGGTGACTCCACTCTTTAAGCTCCGAGTTACTTTATAATACGGCAGCGTCGAAAGTCGCCCGTTGCAGGTTAATTAATTAATGTAAATTCATACTTTTCAAATCTGCGTTTCGGTTCATTAGCAATTTTGTTTTTAATAGAAACAAACACAATACTTGATTTGTATATCTTAAGAATTATATTTGTAAATAATAATCATATCTTAATAGGTAGATATCTATATCAGTTTTGTGCACTGTTTTTTATGAATCGGTCATCATCACCAGCTTGTTTATGTGCTCACTGCTGGGCACAGGCGTTCACTATTATCCTGGATAACGTCAAAATTGCAGTTTCATTATCAATTGTAGTTACTATCCTTATTTTGTTAGAATTCATTGTTCCGATATGAATGTGCAGATTTTCATCCATTTATAAAATCTCATTCTGAGTCTACTATTGTATTTTCTTCGCTTTTATCTTAAGTGTAGAATAGGCCTTAGTTTAGTATACACGCAGTTTAAATAATGTTTGTTCATTTTCTAAATGTCAATATAATATTTGCTAACCTTTTAAACTGACTCGAAGTCATGAGTTTGCTATTTTGTGTTGTGCAGCCTATTACGGCGTCTGAAAAAGTTTAAAAATGTAGATTTAAAAAAGAAATTATAAGATTTTCTTCCTAGAAAGAAAAATTTCCTACCCCTCATTTTTTCCGCTCTGTGCAATCGCCCGACTTGCCACCTCTTAGACAGGTCATGCCCGTGTTTATCATGAAGTTTGTAAATCCTTTTGGCCATGTGATAAATCCCATAATATTAGTATAGTGATGGAGCATAGTGGAAATATCATGTAATTAAATTTTTAGTTAATTCTGAACTCCGTGAGTAACAGTCGTAAGCAATAGGCGCTAGTCTTGTTACGACGCGTTTTAATTTACGAATTCTTTATGTAACGGTTAGCCAATGATAGAGAGAATTGTGAAACTGAATATGGTGGATTCCAAGTCAGGCTTTATGCTCAAAATATTGACATGACATCAGGCTTTATGCTCAAAATATTGACTTGCTCATACCACGATTTAAGTAAAAGTCTTTAGTTCTGACAGCTGGTGAGTTTCTTTCGCTCATTCTTCTTGTCACCTAAAAGACGTGCAGGACGATTTTGTTAAAATCCGAATTCGAATTAGAATTCGCTCATGTGTCCATTCACTTTATTTAGTGAAGAAATTCTATTGATTAATTTTTTTGTATATGAATACAAAATAAAATAGATTGATTATACATGACTCGGATATTCTATTTCTACGTCATTTCGAAACTTTCTTTACTTATGTCACGAAAGGTTAATACACCGGCGTGAATTCGAATTCGGGTTTGGATTTTTACAGAATAACGAGGGCTGCATTCCTTTTCTTGAGATTGATCAATATACAAACCTCTTTTGAAGTTACAGTGAGTCAAAAGAGACGCTTCGAATTCTCGTGTCTTTTAGTAAATGGAATTCGGGCGATTTATTCTTAGTTGATTTTATTCCATAGAGTGTTTGAGTAAAACGTTTTAACTTTTAAATTTTGTAAGTAGGTAGTTCCTATACTTATGCGTACACTTCCCTGATGAAAACGGACATTATTCCATTTTTTCGTTCGCTTCAATCTTGGCTATAATTTTTGACGAGGGTCGTAAGCCCATTTAACTTTCGCCTCTTTGAACGGATTATTTTTGTCGACTTAATTTGTTTATCGTAAAAAGCTTGCGCTGTTATTGTTGGCGAATGTTTTATTTAAGAACTGTATCAGTTTTTTGCGATGTTTATGGATCTAATAATTTCTACGAGGATTTATATAATGAGCTTATACATTTGTTCCTTTTTAAAGATTTGTGCTATAT